AAAATTAATAAATTTACAATAAAATTAATAACCTAAACAATTTAGACTATGAGAATAACCCGAGCCCTCCATGTGCTTTCCCTAATTTTCCTCCACGCCCACAAAATGACAAAATGCATGTCCTACTTTTTCCTTTTTGGCTTCAATCAGAATGAAAAAAAGGAAAGAAAGAAAACAAAAAGATGCACGTAATAAAGTTAGAATGCAAACAAACCACGTTTCAATAACTGTTTTAATGAGAAAAACAAAATAATTGCATTGATAAGACGGCAAAAGCAGAGATATGGCAATACGTCATATATTACTGCTTTAAAATCTCAATTGGATCCACTTAGAGTTATTATTATCATATTTTTTACAAAACAAATTAAAGACCTCAAATTATTTTTTTTAATATTATTTTTGAATACAATTTTTATATATCATTAAATGAGTGAATATATTTAATATCATGAGATTTATATGAATAAAAAAAATTAATTATATAAATGACATATCAAATTATACAAAAAAAATAAAATAAAAAATTATTTTAAAATTATTTTTATATATAATTATAAATTATATAAAAATATAATTTTTTTATTCTCAAATCTCTTTTTACTCAATTTAAAATTTGGATTTGAGATTTTTGAATATGAAATTTTAAATTGTTAATCGGTAAACCGTCCTCTTTGAAGTTACATTAAGTATATAAATAACAAAGGTAAGGAAAACCAAACAACTAAACTGAAAATAAACACCCTGTTTACCTTACTATCATGGAGGGATTATTTTTTTCTAAATTAGGTCACTCTACCCAAATTAATAATACGAAAAAAAAAACCTCCGAAGGTCGGACCATTTCAAGTGCTGAAAAATAGAAGGAAACCATTTCCAATTGGGGGCAAGTCCCTGGAGGTCACCAAACCCCATCCTTAACTAATAGCATCCCACCATTATTAAACAACGAATCATGACTTTTTGCTCGTCGGCATTTTGCAATATTATCAACCAATAATGAGATTTCTTGCCAAAATTGAATACCACCGCCTCAAGCCATCCCTCGTCTTCTCCACCTGCACTACCATATGTTCCCAAATTGACAGTCATTGCCTCTCTGCCATTAAGTCTGCCATCTCCGTACAAACACCAAAGTTACTTTCCCCCACGTCATCATGGTGCAGGGTCTGAGAGAGTGAACCCATCACTTCTCTCACGAACACTGGCATCAAATTAAAAAAACCTGATGCTAAAAGCCACCCCCACAGTTCCCCAACCACCACCAGCAGAAGCGGGAGCACTAGTGAACAAAACGATTGCAACAAAGAAGAAAAAATAAACGAAAATGCCATCCTTGTCAACTCCCACGAGAAGAGGAGAATAACTGGAGCACCCACAAGGGGAGAGGGAAAGCCTCCCACGTAGGAAGAGAACATGACGTCGAAAACCCTAGGAAACACCATAGTCCATATACAAATTAATTGTTTTTTCATGCAGAAATTTTTTAGTTAGTTAGTGCGTACTATGTTTCCATAACTTAAATCTATAAATCGAATGTGTTTTAAGTACAATGTGTAAAGTATTTATTTTATAATTATTGTTAGAAAGTTGAAATTTAGAAAACTCTTTTATTAATGATAATTAATAAAAGACAAATTATAAAATGACGCCATTTTGTATTTTTTATGTATACATCTAATTATTGATATATAGTAGAGAATAGTTTTTCTCTTTTCTTTTAATCACTTTCAATCCGGCTTAAAATTTGAAACTAAGGTACTTTTAAGTTTTTGGTCATCAGAAATTCAAATTAGATATTGAAGGTTAAATGTTAAATTTGGTCCCTTAACTTTAGTGAGTTGCACATTTTTGGTCCCTCAATATTTTTTGCACTTTTTTGATTCCTCAACTTTAAGAAATGCACACCGTTAGTCCTTCTATCAATTTAGACCGTTAACTCCGTCATGTGGCATTTTTTATATTTTTTTTGATGACATGGTGAAAACAACTTTAAAAAGTGCTAATCTAGAATTTTTTTGATAACGTGTCAATGCCAACTCATAAACTAAACTTGATTAGGATTTATATTTTTAATAAAAAATAAAAAAATTCAATCCATCTTCTTCCTTTCTCTTTTTTTTTCTTCTTTCTGCCTCTTCTTTCTTCCTCTTCTTCCTCTGTTGCTGGGTCCCTTAAACCCAGCCATCTAGGTTCAAGGGAACTCAGGTTCGATGGAACCCAGATGGCTAGGTTCAAGGGACCCAGCAACTGGGTTCCACCGAACCCAGCTCCACTTTCTTTCTTTTTTTCTTTTGTTATATGTTTGTTTGAAGAGATTTTTATGTAAATTGCAGGTTGTAAGGGATTTTTGAGATCTTTTTCTTCATATTTCTTAAGTGTTGTCTAAATGATTTCAATGTTAAAAATGGAAAGAACATCACCGGCAATGGAAAGAACAGAAGCAGTGACTAATGGATAAAAAAGCAATTCTTAGTGGGTTTCCATTTGTTTGGCTAGAAAGGTGTTTGGATGCTGAGAAAATGCTTTCTGTTTGAACATGGCAAAACATTTTTGTCCATATCATCACTTTTTTAAATTTAGCTCTTCACATCATCAAAAAAATAAAAATAAAAAATGCTACATGTGCGGAGTTAACGGCCCAAATTAACAAAAGGACTAATAGTGTCCATTTGTTAGAGTTGAGAGATAAAAAAAGTGCAAAAAATTGTTGAGGGATCAAAAATGTGCATTTCTTAAAGTTGAGGGACCAAATCTAGCATTTAACCAATAAAAAATTAAGTAAAATTTTAATATAAAAAATGTCAATTAATTTTTTATGTATAATTTATGTTTAATAATTTTACTTGATAAAAAAATTTAATTATTAATATAACTTTTAATCTTAAAACTAAAAAAAATTTAACTATGACAATTATTGTTGATTAGAATGAGTAATAGTTTAGTTTAGCTTAAATGCATCAAATTAAGCATACAATTAACTCCGATAATTAAATCTCTTAATAAGTAAATCTCATCTTATAAATTAAATTTATGATTCTAATCTACACATAAAATAATTAATTTTATTAAATACAACATTTTAAAGTTGGCAATAAAATCTATAAGATGGCCCAATATGATATAAGTTTCAGGCTAGGCTATTAGGGAAATGTCTTCATTTATAGGATTTCTATATGATAGGTTTGTAAGTTAGCCCGGA